TGTATGCGCAATATCGCTTGAAATTAAGTCACGTGTAGATAAAGGCTATCCCGGTCCAGAACAAACAAGAAGCCGGTCACTGTTTCTACGGTACTATCAATAAACAAATCAATAATTATATATACAACAAACCTTAACGGTTTCAAGAGTACAAAGCACAACGCTTAACAGAAAGCAAGGTACCGCTATCAGAGCGGAATAATGTTAAAGCCAAAATTGCGAACTAGCCGGAATCAGACACGACCGTTCAGGTAAGCAGTTAGTAGAAGAATGAACCCAAGTAAGGCAGGGCGTAGAACAGAGAGCTGTTAAGAGAGATAGACCGAGCATAGGCACAAAGATAGAATTTAATTGGCTACTTTACCAGGTAGGCTGATACAGATGAAGATCAATAAATAAGATAAACTCGACAGAATAGTACAAAGTAAGACATGGGTGAGGAAAAATAACAGTTCACAAAACACTCTGATTGGGTCATGAGTTCAACTGTCTGACTAAATGGATCGATGTACAAAACACACACATACAGTTTATTAAACAAAGGGGGGATAGACACGTTAGGCATGGATAATTGGGTTGCAACAACGCTAGGCTGATCCGGGACAGGTTGAGTTGATTCAAGGATGGGAATTGAATTGATCTTACTGGTAGGTTTTAATAACACATCTTCGCACAATTAATATCGAATAGCATTTTACTTGAAGACCACCCTGTACCAGTGTGGTGTGGGCTACTGTTAAGATTTATCAATAGATCGTCGGTACAAAAATATCAGATAGCGGACAGTTATATTTGACGTCTAAGGTAGCAGATGAACCAGTGTTGCTGTCAAACATGGGAGACGGGAAAAGAAGACAAATGAGTGCAATACGAAGGGAGGGCAGAAGTATCACCACGCAGAAGATCTGTGCGAGGGATGATTCTCATATAGAGTGTATGTAATTTCCCTGCATAGATATATCAAATTTCAAATCAAACTTTCGTTACCAAGTCCCTTGTTTTCTGCCGTTACACCAGTAGATATTTTTTGCAATTTAAGTACTCTAGAAATTCTGTACTATGTATTAAAATGAGCAAAGGGTTAACAAGCACTGGTTCAGAATAACATGGATCAATTTCTATTTCGTTGCTTGTCATCAGTTGCATACAACCTTCAGTTTTTAATAAATTAAGGTAAGAGTAAAATATAACATGCCTCTGTCATCAGCAAGCATATTACAAGAGTGTCATGATGAGGTATGACATCAGGATGACAAGGTAGCTAAAATGTAAGTATATACATATATATATATATCTTGTTAGAGAGAAGTTTCTACAAAATTAATTGACAAGTTTATTGTTAGGGTGGTAAGAAATAGTAAGAATTACATAGCTAGATAAGAAGAGGCCGAGATTTGGTGTGCAAAAGGTTAGATGAAAAGGTGATGATGTAATGATGATGGTGAGTAGAACTAATAAGGTCAAGAAAAATGATCTCTTATGGAAGTCAAACAGAAGAAACGAAGTGACGGGGTAGTGACGTTGAAAAGAAAAGTTAATGAAGTTAGAAGACGAAGAGTTATTAGGGGATGGGTCACCAGAGTAATTGGAGTTCAACGACAGGTTCCTTTTAGACACATAGGTCAGGTTTCAGCGGTTTTATTGCGATAGTCTCAGCAAATTGAAGAAGAATTTAGCTGTTTTTTCTGTGAATTATTTTAAAGAATGCCAGTGCGTCTAATCGGTGTCCAGTGTGTTATAACTGCACTGAATTAAGGTAAAACCCCGTCGCCAATTTGTTATAACTGTAGGGGATTGAATGAAGACGTTTTCACCTTATTCTGTCTGCGCCTGAACTAATCTGTCTATCTGCTCGTCGTACCTTCCGACTTAGCAAAGCACGCAAATATCAAAAGACAAAGGCTGGACTGTGACTGTGTATTGAGGTGCCATTGATTGAATTCGAGGCAACAAGAAAGACCAAGTTCTCAGCATAAAATGGCATCATTTTATTCTATAGGTACTCATTGACTCCAGACTACCATATATGCAAGTTTAAACAGTCAATACCAAAATATGTGGGATCCTATCAAGTGTCCATCGGGTATTTGATAATTGAAGAGCCTAAACTATTTGGCTACTTCTAACCATAAGTTTCTTGGTGCATGTTCGAAGAATCTGAAGTAGGCCCTTCTTTCTGTTCTTCCAATGTAATTGCTCCCAAAGATACGTGTGAATTGGTAAGTACAGTTGGAGTTAACATATGAGGGGTTTTTTTGTCGATCTTTGACTGCATCAACGAGGATGATGTTCGGAGCAGAGAGACTAGTTTTGCTGCAGGATATGTCTTGGACATGGCTGCGCTTAATCTTATATTTATTATTCCCATAATATCATCACAGTTTTTTTCATGAGGTGACATTAGTTAGAGAACCACTGGAAAACTAGCTAAAAGTACTTGCCGCCTGTTAAGTCCTGGTACAGCAAGTTGAAGATGGGGCAGTTACTCATCGAAGACATTGCTAAGTAGTCGCGTTATCTGGTGAATCGGCGGAAGATGGAATTCATAGGTTGACTGGCCATTGGATCAGGTCCCCCAGTGACTTAATGGTCTAGGAATTCATCTTGTGATCAGAAGTCCTGGGTTTGAACCTATGTGGTGTGTGTGTGTGCACTGATAAAGAGTCCCAAACTAAGACGGAGGATACAGCTGTTCAGTACCCCATACTGGTTTCTAGCGGTTCTCTAACCGATGTCAGCTCATGATGAAATCCTCAATAAAATTCAAGTGTTTAGGTCAAATGTTTACTTCGGTGAGATACCAGGCAAATAAATATGGTGATGTCGTGTGTGCTACTAACAAGATTTATCGGTAGTATATAAAGAGACGTTCCCCGGCACACAGAAATATCAAACAGCGGAGAGATAGGATTGACGTCTAAGAGAGCAAATGAATCAGTATTGCCGGCAAAACGTTGGCGACACGAAGAGAAGACAAAAAAAACACAATACGAAGGGGATAGAAGTATCACCATGCAGCAGGTCTGTACAAGTGATGATTCTCATATAGTGTATATAATTCCCCGTATATATAGATGTCTCTTGGCTTCTATCACTAAAGTAACAATAATACAAACCACTGAAGACTGCTATCACCCTTGATACACAGACAATAATAAGTAGGTGAAGCATTTGATGAACAATTCACACAGACAGCCATAAGTGAAAATTTTCGGCACAGCTGCCTACACAGTTATTATTTGGTTACAGTGTTCACGTTTTACAACACGTTTTAACTGTTGTTCCGATTTAATACATTAGCAATCATTTACCATTCAGATGTGACTCAAAATTATGAGTACACAATAAATACTTTTGTGTAACTTTAGAATACCGTAGTATATGACAGACAAAATCATTTGTTGGCAAATTGATGTATTTATTGATGATTAAGGCGAAATGCAAAATCCCCCTTTTGCTTATGTTCTTCATTAATCTGATTCTTTCTTTCCTACTCTTCAGCATTCAATATTCCTGCAGAAGACATCACACACAGACACAATGTGCTACTTACAAATTCTTGTCAGTAGTACACACCATACTTGTCTGCCCATACCTTGATAGATGCATTGTAGCTCTAACTATGACCTGGTATTCGATCGACACCTAGGAATCGGCAGTGAATTTTCCTGTCAGCTTATCCTCAACGCCTACTAATAATAAACCACATAGAATCAAAATGTTGCAATAGCAACAACAACAAAGAAAGTGAGTACTACACAATGACCACAGTTACATTGATCGTTATCAAAGACCATGTTGTATGAAATAAAAAATGTGAATGCCATCGATGGCACAGCTGTAGAATGCTCGCCAACCACGCCTCATGTGGTCCGGGATTCGACTCCCGGCCGACAAACTTCCTTACCACGCTAAGTCAGTAATAAGGCTGGTAAAGAGGGAAAGTTTGGCCGGGGGGTGACACATGAGGCTAGCAACCCCATCCTGTAAAAAAAACAATGCTACCGAAACTTAAAGCCTCTCTATGTTCTACTGGAAGCGAGAAGAAATAAAAAAAGATGGGATCTACATTGGAGTGAAAATGCATGCTTTACATAGTGTACGACAATACTGCATGCCAAGTTATCCCACAACGGGAAACTCATGGAATCTTTCGAAGTGAAGACGCGAGTAAGACAACGCCGGCTGGCTGCCTACTATCTCCAATGATTTTCGTGATTGTAGTAGATTGGATAATGCAGCATAATCAGCATAAATGGCAGGAAACTGAAAGAAACAACCTCCTTCACCTACCGACCTGGGAAGCATCGTTTCAACTACAGGCGGACGGAACTGACGAGGATATCAAAGCAGCAAGGATCGGAAAAGCAAGACAAGCTTTCATTTACTCTCAAGTCTGTGTGGAGGTCAACAGCACTCAGAATGAAAATGAAAATAAGATCTGAATTTTCAACTCCAATGTGACGTCAGTGCTACTATGCGGATCAGAGACTTGGCGCGTCATAAAGAGCACCTCAAACAAACTACACACCTTCATTAACAGTTGTCTTCGCTCAATACTACTCAAGATCAGATGGCCGGCCAGGAAAGATCAGCAACACGGATCTCTGGCAATGAGCGAACCAACCAGGAACCGATTGTGCAACAAATTAGCAGGAAGAAATGGAGATGGACTGGCCATACTCTGAGGAAACCATCAGGTGACATCACTAGACAAGCCTTCGAGTGGAACCCGAATGGGAAGCGGGGAGTTGGTCGTCCAAGGGTGACATGGAGGTAGTCATGTGAAGAGGAGATGAAAACATGTGGCCAGACGTCAAGCCAGATGAAAACGTTGGCAGAGAACCGAACACAATGGAGACGTGCGGTTGAAGGCCTATGTTCCTCTAGGATTAAAAGGAAATAATAGTAATAATACATACATGGTGGACAATCTTTGTTAAACACTATGTAAATCAGAAGACAGTAGTGTTATTGAAGGCGAAACAACGTAAACTGACCTTCCAGTAGAAATTAAGTAGTCTATATCTGGATGATTCTGAATACTGCATACACCCATATTTTGCCTGTAAGTAAGACAAGAAAACAAAATAGAGGCAGATTAACAGCTGACAAATCATATATAATTAGTAAAACTCATGAAATAATAGACAGATAGGCAGGCAAACAGATAGACACTTGCTTTGTCTAGCGATGAATCCCATCATAAAAGGAATCAGTAATAGTTGTTATGAATCACACAACAGTACAGAAATCATAAATCAATAGGAGCACAGGTGGTGTGAAACAGGAAACACAGCATCCGAATCTACTTAGTAAGTATAATAAAGGGGACACAAACACAAAATATGTGATCTCCTTGTGATAGCATAATTTGCTAACCAATTTGCAAAATTTAAATTTAATTGATTTTTGTTAAACTCTATTTTGTGTGCTGTGTTCTGATAAGGCCTTCCTACTTACAACAAGCCCGATAGGCTGTTTCAATCTGGTTCAAGTCCAAAATAATTTAATACCAGTCGATAAATATTGGCATTCCAACGGAAATCGTAAATCACTTGTTATTAAGGTGTACCATGAATGTAAATTTTAAATTCTATGACACACTTTACAAACAAGTGGATGGGATGGCAATGGGCTCCCTATTGGGTCCAATTCTGGGTGATTTCTTTCTAAGTAAGCTAGAAAATGGACCTTTGAACAACCTTATCAGCAAGCTCTCATTTTATTGCCGATATATGGATGATACCTTCATTTTTAGTGATAATGGTTCTGATAGGAGTACAATAATAACTGAATTCAATGAAGTATATTCTGCTATGAAATTCACGTACGAAGAAGAATCCCAAAACAGAATTGCCTTCCCGGATGTCTACCTTAGAAGAAGACCAGATGGTAGCACAAAAAGAAATTTGCACAGGAAAAGTACATGGACAGGACAATATACACATTTTCACAGCTTCGTTCCCATCAAGTACAAAAGAAATTTAGTGAAGAGTTAGAGTTATATATGCTCAGAAGAAGTAATTGAAGATAAATTAAGCATTGTATATGATACTTTGATCGAAAATAGCCATCCCGAAAAATTTATCAAGAAACACATGACGAAGAAAGCGGAAAAGGACTACTCACTAACCGTTAACAAGAGGCCTCTTTATATACGACTACAATTCAAGGGCGATATACCAAGGGAAAGAATTACGAGGAGATTAATAAAATCAGTTCAAAGAACTTTGAATGCTGGCGAACTACACCTATTATTCTCTACACGATCGATGGTGCTACCTCGACTTAAAGATGAAGTACCTAGACTAGCCACTACTAACTGTATCTGCCAATTCAACTGCGCTTGTGGAGCGAGTTATATTGGCTGTTGCTCTAGGAACTTGATTTTTCGTGCTCACTCGAGAACATCTCCCACTATGGCTAAGTAGAGGTGTAGTGAAAATCATCAACAGTTCAATATTGGACCATCTGGTGCAAACCGGCCACAAAGCCAGCCAGCGTGGAAGAATCCTTCTCTATCATCATCTACCGGGTGCCTAATAAATTGCGAAAAACATCCAGGTACCGCATACTCCAAACAACAGAGGCTATTTCAATTTGCCTCAAACAACCAGTGCTCCGTGTTCAAAAGAAGCAAGTCCAACCAGCCACTACTACTGCCCTGGCCGGTCTTCAGTAGAGACTATAAATTCATGAATTTGTAATATTATCTTTCCTAGTTTTTTCTGACATTCAGCTTATTGTTATGTTGATGCTAATGAACTGTAATCTCCCAATATTATTGATTCGATGTTATTTAAACAACATGAATGTTGTTCATAACACTAATTCATCTATTCACTATAACGTATGTATAACTGTAGAGCCTGATGATGAAGGGGTTATCGAAAAGAGTATTCTTTGTTCAGTATCCATTCTTTTGAAAAATAAAATCGTTGGATTGAGATGCTATTTCATCTCAAGTTTTACACTGTACATACTGGCCATCGTTCGAGTCAAATTAAATTCCAAAAGGCAACAATCACAATCAATAAAATGGTAATCCATGTGGGGATTTATATAGGCTTAGAAGCTTACTAACTTTCACAGTTGGGTATCTACCTCTATAAACCAAACGAAACCTGATCCATTAACTCAGCTACAGAGTTCGCAGAATTTGCAATCCCGGACACCATAGAAGATGAACTGGACAATATCATGAGAATCCTCGTCGAGAATTATTATCCAAAAAGATTTATTGTGAAATCCTAGAGCACAAAAGCCGCCCATGCTGGGCTTCCCGAATAAACTACTCTACATGAACCTTCAATTCAATGGAGATATATCTGCGGAAACACTAAAAAAATCGACTGTCGCGCTCACTCAAGAAGACCTTCTTCGAAGCTGAACTACGACTAACCTTCTCCACAAAACCTATGATTCATGTGAACGTGAAGGATAAGCTATCACCGCTGGCCTCATCAATGTGTATTTATCCATTCGCCTGCTCGTGTAGAGCCAGGTATGTCGGCCGTACCCAGCGTTCGCTTTCCAAACGTATCACCGAACACTTACCAACATGGTTTTACAAAGGAGAAAAACTATGCCCCCGCAGCTCCATCTTTGAGTATGTGATAGATTCCGGACACCAAACTACACCCCCCCCCCAAACAAACTTCAAAGTCGTCTACAGAGTGGGAAGTAGTCTTCCTAAAGGTGTACGAATCAGACTTCTTCAAACTGCAGAAGCAATGGCGATTCACTTGCTAAGTCCTGAACTCTGCATACAGAAGAAGTTCGCTCACAATCACTACACTTGCAATGGACGTAATCTATCTTACTACCCGACAAGCAAATTCTACTTAATTTTTTTTATTTTTCTTCTATCTCTTCATTAGTATTATTTTGTCCTCTCAATTGTAATATTTTACATTTTCAACCTCCGTGTTCTGTAGCTCCACCCGATTTAATTTCTGCACCTCACTACCACTGTTACTGAGTTGAACAACGCTCTATTTCTAGTCATTTATGTTACGTCATCCAACTTAATTGCTCAATTTCAGATCTAATTTAAATGGCATTATTCTCTACTCCACATCTACTTAGTCTCTACCTGTAATCACCTCTACTGCTATCCTGACCTAAGTTGAGACATTTTAGTCAATTATATTACGTCATCTAACCTACTAATTCAATCTTACTTCAGTTGCTGTCTAAGATTGTTTCTATATTAGATTATTCTTGTATTACCTGATTAATTATCTAAACTTGGCAAACCTCATGTACACAAACACACAAAGTAGTTAAATATAAATGCTATTGTACAGCTATGTGAATGAATTCGCCGGCGAAAAGAGTCTCTTCACTGAACGTCTTCTCTTTTTCATATGACTCAATGGGTATTTTTAAGCTATATTTTTTTAAATACAGGAAACATGAATCAATAATTGCACAATAACCCAACACAACCACTTAACGGTAGAATACAAAGATTATGAGCTGTATAAAATGTAATACAGAAAAGAGTGTTAAGCTCATCTAACAATCAATCAATCAAGTATAGTCTTTGAGTATAACAGTTGATAAAATGGAGGCAAAAACAATCCTAACCAAAAAAATAAAAGTTTTGGGATATAACATGATTGGTTTCAACGTAGAACTTTCCACAGATGTGCAACAGTTCGAGTTGCCACTCGCCCTCCATATAGCACACAAGACGAAAGAAGAGAGTAAGGAAAGAAACACGAGAGATAATAAACAGAAGTGTGAATAAGGCAAAAAGAATGGTATTATCGAAGAACAAAGAATGAGTAAATCTACCTCAGCCATTGAGAACAATTTTTACTATCCCGAGCACCCCAACCAGGAAGTCTACATCTCCCTACATGACTAGCTTAAACTAATTGTGGTGGATTTCATTGACTGATGAAGCCATGTTTTGATTTGACCACTAGTAGATCTTTTCCAACCTGATCTCTATCCTGTTAGCTAACATTCCCCGTCGAGGAAAGTGATGGTTAGTCTAGGCATGCATAACACATGTTCTAACCATTTCAAAAGGTATAACTTAACAACCTCATGTGTTGATTCCTCCCCCCTTACCTAGCACTTCACCGACGCCTAACCTCGATACTGCTTACCCTATTATAACACTTTACACGAGAGATAGAACGCAGTTAACTATGATCAAAGACAGTTAGCCAGGCCTTTCATGTCCTCCACTTTCAACGACCATGTCTCGCTCACAACCACATAGAGGAGAACAGAGTGAACTGCTGACCATTTCATACACGCCCTTTGGTCGACAGACAGAGAAGGGGCGTAAAGTGGCTGGCATAATACCAAATAAGCCTTCTGTGAGTCACTCGAAAGTCACTTTTTTTCGGTTTAATAATTTATTAAATTTTGTTTACAAAAAAAAGGGAGAAATAATTCACAGTTTACGCAACACACATAATAGACAATTAATGATAATAATTACCTGATAGTATTCAACGGCTTTTGATAACCTTCACGTAAATCCCATATACAACACTTGGAATCATCTCCACCAGTGAAGACTATTTCATGTTGCCATTTATTCAAACATGTACACCAGGCTTCAAATTCATGTGCATGCCATTTAGCAATAAACTGTGGATGTGAGCAGGACGAGACATCCACTTGCCATAAATTGATATTTCCACCGGAATCACTGAAAACCAGTCTATATAAAAATTCTTTATTTATCACAATCACTACTAATAGCCTCACCGATTAGAACATGAATCGACGGAGAGAAGTATGTGGTCAGGAGACACATGGAAATCGACCAACTCGACTAGTAATAATTGATCAGTACACTTCCATAATTTTGATGAACCATTCGCTAATGCACTAACTGAGGTGTTATCATTTATCCAACTTGTGTCTAAAACACCAGAACACGAGACAGTACACGATAAAGTATACTGATTATCGTTTGATGCTCGACTGAATAATAACAAACCACCAAGACGTTCTTGTGTTTCCTAGACAGTAAAAAAATAATATTAATAAAACAATAGAAATTATTCAAGAAACCATAATGCACGTTGGCGAAGGTTAATATTATTTCACAACTACATGTTCTAAGTAAGAAGCCTATTTTCATCAAACTCAACTACAAGGGTGACGACATTATGAGAATGGTCAATAAAAGATTAAGCGCAGCCCTGTCTAGGACGTATCCTGCAGCGTTATTAGTCTCTCTATCCCATACAATCTCCTCACTGGTGCAGTCAAAGATTGACAAGTACCCCTCACATGTTACCTCCAACTATGTATCCTAATTCACATGTATCTGCGAGAGCAGATTCTCCAAACATGTAACAAGGAGCCTCCGGTTAAAGGGACCGAATTGTGAAAGCTCTTTAATCGCCAAACACCTGATTGACACAGGACACCGAGTTGATGTCCTGGAATCATTCAAAATAATTAACAGACAAAATACTTCAAGTCTTCTCAGGTTTGCTGAAGCTATAGCAACAAAACGATTGAAGCTTGTTCACAAAGAATCTGTTGTTGGACTTCAATTACCCTGGCAACTCACTTCTTAGTAACTCTTTGTTTTCTAATTTTGTTAACTTATCTTTTCACTCCAACACGCAGCTGATGAGAACCGACGAAATAAAATGGATCCAGGTTATTCTGCGCCAATGTTTCTTCTTTCTTTGTTCAAATTTATAAAAGGGAATCATTGTATGATATACACGTTCTAAGATATACAGTCTAACGGGAGACAAAACAGGCGATCGTCACATGAGAACAATACCTACTTTTATATTGACAGTTCGATTTCATTTTAGTTTAAATACCCAAGGGCTAAAACTGCCGATTATCACCGATGATATTCTTAATTGTGGTTGACTAACTGGATTATGCATCAGAATGGGGGGGAAGAAGAATGCTAGAATACGCTGGACCGATAAGAAGACTCCAGAAGATCTACATTTCGCGTGTGAATGACTTTTGTTTAATGTCACACCAAATCGAAGACTTGCGGGAAGGCAGGCGAAAACCAACAAACTAACTGAAGAAGAAGAAGAAGGTAGAGAAGACAGGATTCCGAGGAGAACATACATCAAGAAGACGGAGGTGATGAAGATAACTAACCAACCAATAGCAACAACAACAACAACCTGCACCAATCACCATCAACGGGAGACATTTGATGACAGAGGTTATTTCCTTCACTTCTTACCTGAATGACTGGGAGGCACGGTTTCAATCACAGGCAGAGAGAATGAAGATGTGAAAACCAGAACCTTAAAGGCATGCCTTCACCAACCTGAAATCAGTGTGGAAATCTTCTGCATTCAGCAAAAGTAAGACGATTCCGAATTTTCAACATCAGTGTCAAGTCGGTCATTCTACAGGGGGTCAGAAACTTGCAGCGCGTGTCACGAAAAGGATTTCCAACAGGCTATTGCAAACTTTCATCAAGAGCTGTTACCTTCGCTGGTTCTATGCTGGAGATCAAATGGCCAGAAAGAATTAGTAACAAGGGACTCTGGCTGCAAACAAACCAATCAAGAGTTGATTGGTCAACAAATATGTAGGAGAAATCTAAGACAGGAAGTGATACACATAAAGGAAGCCTTGAAACTTAAAAATTACCCTGATAAATTAGTCAGGAAATATGTAAGGAAACGTAAAAATAAAATAAATAATGATAGCAGCGATAGTAACAATAATAATGATAATAATATTAATGACGACATACATGTCAAATATGCAATGGATAGTGACAACACAAACAATAAGGAATCTAAGTTACCAGTAGTAATTCCATACAAAGAAGGAACCTCGGAAACCACCTGACGCAGAATTCTTAACAAGACAGGAATAAAAGTGGCTGGCATTCAACACACCCACAAACTCAATTAGAAACAAGCTTTGTCGGTTGAAAGATCAATCCTGTGGAGCCAATAAAACAAAACAATTTAGTTTATCTAATACCCTGCCTGCAATGATGTCAAGTCAAATACATAGGTCAAAATAGTAGAGCAGTGGCAGTCAGACTAGCCGAACATAAAAACCTAAGAAAATCTGGATTAGTTGACCCGAATAGGATAGGAAATCTGGAGAATAGTTCAGCTATAGCACTACACTACATGCAGTTATACCCAACCATACAATAGAATGCTGGGATAGGATGACAGTTTTAAAATCTAATGTAACAGCAGGGTGGAGGGAGAGACTGATAACAACGGAAGCTTTGTTTATCGAATCGACTACAAACGCGTGTAATAGGAATGATTCAACACCTGCCCACCCAGATATCTGGAAAATTCTACTACCCCAACGACGACAAATAGGCGAGAACGAAGAAAACTATAAAACTTAAGCTTCAAGGTCGTGTGATTATGAACAATAAATTTTGTTTGAAACGTCATCCGGTAAATAATATTGTCTCTCCACTGTGTGATACATCTAATAAACAAATTAATATGGTATTAAATGGACAGCTAAATGAGTAAATCCAAGTTCCAAATTCTGCTTGCAGTTAAGACCACACACGCCTGTTTTTTATATCAGGATAGAGATACAGCTTAGAGATTTTTAATTTTAGCAGTTTTCCCTACGTATCTGTTTATAAAGCAAGATATCTACACATTTTCAAGTTAAGTGGAGGATGGGAATTCTGTGAGCAATTAGATTTTAGTTTCTACATATCAACCCTAATGTCAGCAGACTGTAAATCTGCGAGAATGATACCTTTTTTTGCCTCACACCTTAATTCAGCATTGAGCTGATATATGAGAAAAGAAAATGAATTCAAGTATTAAAGTAAACGAACAAAGTGTGTGTGTGTGTGTGTGTCAGTGAACCACTAACGTCACCAATTTCTTTACCAAGGCACTAATTTGACTGCTCCTGTGGAGTGAGCCAGTTACATAAGCCGTACAATTAGGCGTGTTTCTCGTCGGATTTCCGTACATCATCCCGCGTTGTTGGTTAAGTAAAGGACAAAAAGAATCTATTCGTAGAGCTTTTATATCTCACCTCGTGGATACAAAACACAAGATTTACGTTAACCATGCTTTCAGGGTCATTTGCCGCATACCTGTACCACAAATACCGTTTGGAATAAAGCTTTTATTATTATTATTAATACCTACGAATCTCAATTTCGCCTTAAGATTTCGTTCACTAAATATTGCTGAGACTAGTTGTTGGGATTCACATAAAGAAGCCTAATTTGTATGTCTCAAAGAAGCTAGTTCAGACATTGTCCTTACCCCGCTGGCCATCTAGGTTCGAATGATCTTAAATATTTTGTAGAAATTTCCTTAATTTTGTTTGATATTCTATTTGCTATTACATTTTAATGCTTATTATAACTTATGCGTCTTTAATGAACTGTAATTGCATTGATCTTGCATCTTACAAATCGATATTATTTAAACAACACTAATATTGTTACTGACTACTATTCCAGAATATTCTATGTATACGAACATATCTGTCTGGATTCAACATAGAACTTGGCACCGAAGAGCAGCAGTTCGAGTTGCCACGTTCCAAGTAGCACACGAAGGTAGACAAGAAGATGAGTGGAGAGAATCAATAGAGTTTGACAAGTATAAGAGCGAAACACAATGAGTAATGGTAGAAAGGAATATGAAAGATTACAGAGACTGAATACATCTGCGCTGGCCATTGACAACGATTTTGAGCCATGCCATGTCACCTATTGTCTCCGGCCATTGATTCCTAGAGTCCCGAGGGCCCCAATCCGGAAGTCTACATCTCCCTACCTGACTCAGTTTAACTGTCAAGGATTTCATGGATTGATGTGATGTTTTTGTTTGGCCACCACTTACTCTTTTCCAACCTGCACCTATATCAGCTAATAATGCCCGTCGGGGGAGGCGATGGTTAGGCATGCGCAGCACGTCACCTAGCCATCTCAATCTATGTAACTGTATAGTCTCGTCGATTGATTTTCCCTCTTTGCCCAACACTCTACACCTAACGTCAACATTACTTACCTTATTAAACCACCTAACGTGAGAAAGAGATCACACACATCTATGATCAAAAGCAGTCAACCTCTTCAGGTCTTCAGCTAGTATTGGCCATGTTTCAGAGCCATAGAGAAGGACGGAGTGAACTGCCGAGCAGTACACACGTCCCTTGGTTGATAGCCGGATGTCACGCCTACGCCAGAGATGGTGTAAGTCAGCGAAAGCAGCTCGAGCAAACATATAAGTATAATTATAGAACCAGAAGAGTAAATTATCGAAAAGGATATACTTTGCTCAATTAATTTGTGTTTTATAAATTTCTTTTACATGCGAAAAGGAGTCTAACGTACACTATTCAATTCATAACTACCGGATAACATCATTGATGCATTTGGACAAAATTCAACTGTATCTGTATGATACTTTGCAACATACTTGTCTACCGCTTTCCAATCGAAAATCATCCCAAAATCTGTAAACAAAACATAAGAAAATGAACTTTAATAAGGATATACAAAACAAAACATAAAGGTGAAGAGTGTTTAAGGTAAATTAGAGTCTATATTTTATTATTATTATTATTATTATTATTATTCAAGATTAATTTGAAACGAAATGAAAAGTCCCAAAAGGTATTTGGATTCCATTGCTCTTTGACGCCCTTAGCAGATTTGTTTCAATGCTTGTTGTCTGTGCAAATCCCACAATGTATATTTGCCACGGTGGATTCAAGAGTTGCTAAACAGCCTACTTCAGCAAACACGTACTTCCCCTATTTTGGTCTAAATATCCTATAACCTACACCTAGTTTTAACACTGTTTCTCAGGAAACAAAATGGGTCGACATGTGTTACCTTTTCCCATAGAGAAAACGACCGATGAAGATCCACAACCTGTTCAATGCTTACTTAACACTACGATGTGCCGCCAACAAGTGTACACCTCATCCAAAAGTTGTACGACAAGGCTGCATCCTAAGTAATCCACAACGGGAAACTCACGGAATCCTTCGAAGTGAAGACGGGAGTTAGACAATGTCGGCTGGCTGCTTACTATCTCCAATGGTTTTACTGATTGTGGTAGACTGGATAATGCGACAGATAGCGGCGGGCAACGCAACGAGGAGACAGGCATAAAATCGACCCACACAAAAAAATTGGAGGGTCTGTACTTCGTCCATGTTGATATATGTCTGATTTCCCACAAACTGAAAGATATGCAAATGAAAAGCAACAAGTTAGCTGAAGAAACATCAAAGATATGAAGGACTTCAAGTGAACAGAGAGAAAACAAAGGTGATGAAGATTCCTGGCCGCGAGGAACAGCAACTACAACAGGCAACAATCAGAATAAATGGGAGGAATCTGAAAGAAGCAACCTCCTTCACCTGCCGACCTAACTCGGAAGCATTCTTTCAACTACAGTCAGACAGAACTGACGAAGATATCCAAGTAGCGAGGATCGGGATAGCAAGGAAAGCCTCCACTACTCTCAAGTCTGTGTGAAGGTCAACAGCACTCACCATGAAAAATAACATCCGGATTTTCAACTCCAATCTGAAGTCAGTGCTACTTACTTTACGGATCAGAAAATTGACACTGCGCCGCGTCACCATGGCTACTTCGAACAAACTACATACCTCAAGATTAGATGACCGGCTAGGAAAGATGAGCAACACGGATCTCTGGGAACGAAAGAACCAACCCAGCAGAAACCGATTGTGCAACAAATATGCAGGAACATATGGAGGTGGATTGGCTGATCACACCCTGAGAAAACAAATCATCAAGTCACATCACACGACAGGTCATAGCTCGAGTTGAACCCGAACGGGAGGCGGCGAGTTGGTCACCAGCGCGAGGGTGACTTGGAGGATGTGATGTGAAGAGGAGACGAAAGTATGTGGTCAGACTTGGAGCCAGGTTAAAATGTTGACAGAGAACCGAACGCAACGGAGACGTTCGGCTGAAGCCCTATATTCCTCTAGGAATTAAAGGAAACAATAACCTTAACATCACTATAAATGCTAATCCACCTAATGTAAAGAAAATTAAATAGATATGTGCTTCAAATCTCTTCAGTTTTTCATATCTCCTGCTTCTAACAAGCATATCATCAAACTATCATGAAGCAGAAGAAGCAGACTAATAAGTGAAATGCCCAATAACTGATAGATAACAGGAAATGTTACCTCAATGTCAAGGATGAAACAAGTTGACCAATATCAAATAACCTACCAGTATCTGAGCTGAGATGTCGCCCCTAAGTAAATACACAAATAAGTGTGGCCATCAAAGCAGTGGATCACTCCGCTGCTTAATCTTAAACAGGGAGCTGCAATCAACTGACACGTGCGGCAGAATTACCGTACGTTTGATAAATAAAAAACACTTAAAAAATACCCAAATTTTTCTACTAAAGCACTTACACCGACTGTGCAAACCAATGAGCTTGCTTCAAAGTAGCCATTTTTGGGAAGTGGGGGGCAGTCACTTTGAAACTTTTACTGTAGACGATTAAGGTAATCAGTAATTTTGCTGACATCTTAAAGACAAAGTTAAAGACACAAATGTTTACAGCATCTCTGTGGAAAAATACCCAGAAGAAACCTGGATTTATTCTTCATACGAATAACAGTGGTAACTGGTTACTATGAAAGGAGACAACACTCAGTGCACGCCAAATGTTTCACCCCACAGAGGCAAAAAGTGTCTGACGATGAGTGACCTTATTACCAATACGAGACAAAATATTAAATTTGGCACACGTTATAACTATGATACTAAGTAGTAGGTTGTCGGATGTTATACCGCGTTGTTACACCTAAGTAAATTTTTCATATTTTCTAGCCTACCAGATTTCTGAAGGAAACGCGGGGGCTTACCACAAGTGTTTCGAAACAAGAAAATCATGACATTTCTCACAGACAGTTCTCTCACTCTCCCAGCTTCAGATGTTGTCCGTAAGGATTTCAGTGTTACTTTAAGCGATATCTTTAGGGTTAACTTTTAAAGTGCCCGACTAATAGCTGCTACCTTGGTCTGGCATTCACATCGCAATGACCCAACGAGCTACGCTACGCTGGCTGAAACGAATTTTCTTGCAGATCCTATAGTGCCAGGGAGATTGTTTGGGTGCTGTCAAACCAAAAGTAGTTACCACCATAGTGTGAATCGTTTAAACTATGTTGCGAGTTTGAGAACGAATTTTTACTACCGGGGGATAGATGTTTCCTTTGGATGACCAGCAAGCCAGAGGGTTAGAAAAGGTCACAGCTTGCCTTGCGGATCTGATGGTACTCCCCAAATAAGTGAAGCGATCAACGTGCTATACCACTTCACTTCCTATTCCTAATCTAGGAGTCGGTGTAGTCCAGTCCTGTAACAACATCTCGCAATGTATCCTAGAGAAAGAGAAAAGGTTACAAAGGCCAATCCCGAAACTACATTTTAATATACTTCATGCCAAAATTAAGCTACCTCTCCTCCTTGGACATGATAATGGGAAAGCATTTAAATGCTCTATCGTCTTCTCATAAGGGAGGTGTAAGATACAACTAACTAATTTGGTTCCTATCCTCTGTACTCTTTCCAAGATATGTACCTTCTTCTTAAAGCGTGGACTCATCGCTTGTATGCAGTATTCTAGATCAAGTCTGACATATGTTGTGTTGGGTGATTAGAACACAGACTTGTCTAAAAGTTTGGAAGCCATTCGAAATGCCATAGCTGCGGCTGCATTACAATCTGAATTTGTTTCCCAGTCATGACTGATAACAATTACTAAGTCCTTGTGTTTACTAGCATCTGAAAGGTCTGTATGACCCAGGGAGTACGAAGTGTGTAAGTTCTCTGACCTAAGTGCATCACCAAGCTTTTCTTGGAATTAATTCCCAGACTCCAGCCTAGCTAGCATGTTCTTCGGCGCATTACGAAAAGTGGGACAGCTATCTACAGTCTGTCCCTAAAGTGTCAGTACTGCGCCCAAAATCAATACTAGTTGGAATAGGTTACACCGTTCAGCTAATTTATATAGATCACTTTGTAAGACCGACCTATCATCGTTATTACATACAATTTTCAAGACCCTAATGTCTTCCGCTAAAAATAGTCAAGATGAGGTAAGAATTTTCGGTAGATTCAGATTCAGATGATAAGGATAGAAGGCTCTTGTGGCCTGTGTTAATCCTTGCAAAATATATCTCTGCAGAGATCTAACTTCTCCTTGAAAGCGTTCACCGATTGAGCTAATACTACTGAATCAGGTAAAGAGTTCCAGCCGTTGACCACTCTGTGAGAGAATCTAAATTCTGCACGTATTTTAATCGTCCTCGGTTTGAGCACCTTTATGCGGGGACCCCTTAAATGTATCCTAGAAGGGAAGAAAAGGTTAGAAAGGTCAGTCCCTAAATAACCCTTAAGTATACGGTACGCTAAAATTAAGCCGCCTCTCTTCCTTCTGTATGATAATGGGAAGAGATTTAAATGCTTCATCCTCTTATCATAAGGAAGGTGTGAGATAGCACTAACTAATTTCTTTCCTACCCTCTGTACTCTTTCCAGGATATGTGCCACCTTTTTGAAGCATGGACTCGCCACCTGTATGCAGTAACCTAGGTGAGGCCTGATATATGTTGCGTAGAGTATTTGGAACATGCCCTCGTCTAATCGTTTGGAAGCCCTTCGAATTGCCCATAGCATTCGAAAAGCTTTAGCTGCGGCTGCATTGCAATTTGCAGTTGTTTTCAAATCATTGCTGACAATGATTCGTAGGTCCTTCTGTTCATTAACATCAGGTAGTTCTGTCCCCTGGGGAGCACAACGTATAAAACTTCTGACCTAAGTGCATTACAGCGCTTTTCCTAGCATTCATTTCCAAACTCCATAGGCTTGACCACTGAGCTAAATTATCTAAATCAGTTTGTAGGACCGACCTATCCCCGTTATTATTTACAGTTCTCCATATCTTAATGTCGTCTGCAAATAATAATGAAGTAAGAGTCCCTGGTGATTCGTTAACGTATAATAGGAATAGCAAGGGGCCTAATACACTTCCCTGAGGCACTCCACTGGATACTGCTTTCCATCCTGATAGTACACCGTTAACTCTAACCTTCTGCCTTCGATCCATTGGGTAATCTCTAAACCACTCACATAGGCATTGGTCTAGTCCAAAACCTTTAACTTTACTAAGGAGACCTAAGTGGGATACTTTATCGAATGCCTTGCTATGATCAATAAAAACCACGTCCAACAGATGGTTTTTATCTCTGGCCTCAACTCAGTCTTCCCTAGCCAATAGTATGTTTGTCAGGCAGGATCTTCCTGGTCGGAATCCATGCTGTTCCACAGCCAGCAAGCCATGTTTTTCAACATGAACTAATGGCTGATCCCTTATAACAGTATCCAATAACTTTGTTATAATGCATGTCAGACTTACCGGCCGGTAGCTAGAAACCAATTGTCTGTCCCCCTCTTTGAAGATAGGGCTTATAATGGCATCCTTCCAGTCTCTGGGTAGCCTAGCCTGGGTCAAAGACTTTTGGCAAATCTCCGTAAGTGGAATATGTATTATATCCGCCAAGGAAATTAACAGTTTAGGGTGAAGTCCATCGGCTTCCGAGACCTCACCACCCAAAAACCCAATAGCTTGAGATCTTTTTCGCCTTTCTCTAGCCTGGCCTTTAGTTCAGACACGGTTTCTCCTCTCTTGATTCTATCTTCTAAAGACTAATCAGGCCTTATTTTTCAACTTTTATCGATGACTTTGAACGCGTTGTTGAGGATGGTGCTCCTCTCTGTTTCGTTCCCTAAAACTATCTTAAGTATTTGTCGAGAAGTTTCCGCAGCATTAGGGTTTCATTTTCCAATCCTGATAGCCCTTCTTGTGTGAACTCCAATTGTTTTTTCGGGAAGTGTTTTCCGGATAATAGAGCTAACCGCCTTGAGATTATGTGCATGCCGTGCAGCTGGATATGTTTTTAGATTCCTCTAGGTCCCAGATGATGACACTAACTAAAGTCCGTGGGTTTCGGAGTTTGGCTGGTATTAACAGCTGTCGAGACCTAGTTAGTAAACTCGGTTACTGTTTCTTTCCTACGTTTAATTTGCTTCTTACATGTCGGCACCAATCAAGTGGAAGCGGTTTGTTCCACTTTGTCTTCGCAGCAACTAGGAGCCATTCGTACACTAGACATGCTGCGCTTTGGCGTGGCCGTTTCACAGGCTAGTGTTACCATGCTGGCACTACTTGCCCTTTTGGATTTCCTTTGTTTTTTTTTGTGTTTTGCCGCAACAGATATTTGGGCACTCTGTGCGTTTTTTGCGTCTGAAACTTCAGGAGGTGATACACTCTCAGTTTTAAAACTAAGTCTTGAACCGCCATTCTTGGCAAGGATTTCTGGTGCAAGCTTTCCAGCTATATTTTTCGACAATTCCTTGGACATAAGGTCCTAATACCTCTAGGATGTGGACATCCAACTGGCTACTGCAAACTTGAGCAGCCACGGAGATTACGGCTTGCAACATCTCTTACAGGCTACTGATGAAAAAACAGTGCAAACTTTGTGGAACCACAGGCTGCAGTTATCACACTGCATCGCACCATCCAACAGAAAGTTGCAGTCCGGTCGTCCACAGTTTTTAGTCAGGCTCATAACTCTAATTTGTTTAGACCACAGACACATGTACGTGAAGACAATGAGGTTAATACTAACCAACTACACAAATACATGCGTGAAAACTCAGATAGATACCAACCAAAACACAAAATGTGAATAAAATGAACAACACTTCAACTAAATAAATCAGGTAAAGTGAGCTAAAATGCCTCTGATTTGATTTACACAACAAAAGTAGAAGTTACTCCGCAATGTGACATTCACCTTTTTAAAAAGCGCGCGCTTTCCACAAAACAGTGTTTATGTAAATGTACTTAACAAATGCATGTTTTGTAACACACTGAGCAACAGTCACACCAGCAGAAGGAGAACGAGAGCTCCGTAAGAGTTTGTATTTGGTACAATGGAAGAAACCAGAGAGCGCAAGTCAAGCTCTCACAAGAAAAAGTCTAATTGTCATCATTCATACGGAGTCCTGATAGACTTTGTTCCTCATGCTCTACGGAATAGACTCCTAGGTGTTTTCCTGAAAAAGAGAAAAGAAAAGTGTTAAGTACTCTATCTACAACAGCTTTTATTTTGTTACAGTTTTGTAATGGGACAAAAATTAATATGATACCACTAAATAAGTTTTTCTTTTCCCTTTTGCAGAAACGAATGCTAGTGCAAACTCACTGAAGCAAGAAGAGGATCGTTTAGCCAGACTTGTTCAAACGGATGATAAGTAACTTGTACCCGCAAACTAAAATTCTTGCCGAGTGACCTCCGAACGGACCTACTGCGACACGCTCCCACGAGCACAACGGAACTACAGTGGACCATCTTGCGATTAATGGACGCCCAGTGAGATACTGTAGCATCAGCCAGCAGCTCCCTCCCAGAGGAGCAGCTGCAGTCGATGCCGTTGGAATGGAACTTCTGTCTGATGCTACAGTATCTCGCTGGGCGTCCATATATCGCAGGATGATACCCTGTAGTTCCGTTGTGCTCGTGGGAGCGTGTCGCAGTAGGTCCGTTCGGAGGTCACTCGGCAAGAATTTTAGTTTGCGGGTACAAGTTACTTATCATCCGTTTGAACAAGTCTGGCTAAACGATCCTCTTCTTGCTTCAGTGAGTTTGCACTAGCATTCGTTTCTGCAAAAGGGAAAAGAAAAACTTATTTAGTGGTATTATACTAGTTTTTGTCCCATTACAGATTCTCACTGCAACACTGCCTTCATATTTTTGCGAAATAAGCCTATGTTCCAATACGTTTATCCATCCTCATGTGAAAAGTGTCCATTTCTTTTGGGTATTCTCTGGAAGCTGACGAAAGATCTTTCCACAAAAACATAAGTTTCGGACTACTAACTGATTATCATATATATGGTGGAAAAACAGCACAGTAGATACTAGAAATGAAATACTCGTTATAATAATAATAATGTGTATTCTCATATAAACATATAAATTTACATGAAAATGCATGCCATTTTTATAGGCATGATCAAGTATGATATAATGTCAAATCGTACATTGTCTACAAGTTAATAATATTTCAACAGTTAAATATTTGATATATATATATATACATATATATAAATACACTCATTGTCTGAACCAGGCTGTATAGTCAGTGAATTGTACAGTTGTCCTCCAGGTTTCGCGGGAAAATCGACTTCGTTTCGTTTTCATCCCGTGGTTGTAGGCATACGACAACCAACCAATATTGAGGTAAGTACAACGTTTGCAAGGGATTGAAAGATGTTTTAGAGAAGTTGAGGTGCTAAGGTGAATCAATAAAGTGTACTGAAATAAGTAAGTGCAAGCATCATTAATAAATGCATTAATAAAGGAAACTCCCTAGGCTGACAACGTTCATTTGCAATGTATAATGCCTCCTGTACAGTTTGCACTACCATGATGTCCAATTTTGGTTTTAATACATTTATCCTCATGCCGGTTTTTTTATTTTATACCTTTTTGTGCATTTGGTGCACAACCGTACCCTACAGAGAATAGGAATAGAATGAGTCGAATCAAATTCATAAAGAGCTATAAAATGTTAGGTTTCATGGAATATAATGAGGATCGAGTAAAGACATTATTAGAAAATGCATGAGGTAAGACATTGTGGAGTGGTATTCAAAGATCCGACAATGGATAGCAGGTTAATTTATAAGGTGTCCCATAAATCTGTGCAGAGCCCATGTGGTCGCATCTCAACAATAGGCTGATTGAATGGTATATGTTTAAAGGTAGGAGTATGATCTGTTTAGGCGCTCATTATTATCTTTTTCAAGACAAAGATCTAAGCCCTCATAAAAATCAGAAAAATCTTGAGCCGTCAAATTGCATATTGCTGTTCCTGCAGAATGGGGTGATTTGCCTTAGTGACCACCACCATATCTACTGATCATCTATCTTACACCACTTCTACTGAACATCGCTTTCAGAATTCGACGTTGATTTCAGTCTTGAAATCCTTTCGTTATGAATACCTTAAAAAGTTGCAATCTATTTTCTCCCTCTTCGATTCATTATTCATTAGCCGGAGCACCAGTGAAAGCTATTTCGACACTGTAGTGGTAGATAATTCCCCAAAATTATTGGCCACAGAATTCACCAGCAAACACTGGATGCTGACACCTACTGTTCAAGTCAACTTCTTTGGCTTAAGGCTTCCAGTCAAGCATCCATGCCATTCGGTACTCCGTCGTGTCACGTTCATGCACGATCACTAGACAGCTAAGCGATCATCTCGCACTACGATTCGGTCCAGAAATACATCTCGTAATTCGTATGATCAATTGTTTTGTTTCACCTTGCCTTTGGTCTACGCGGAATGAATACTATAGAAGTTGTGGACATTAGATCCTGCGTTAGTATACTTCGTACCATCTGTGAACGTCAATACCGTCAGCCTCCAGAACACTAAACACCTCTTATCTATGTTTTCGTAGTTAGATTTTCACGGATGACCTAGGATTAGAGGATTATCTAAATGACGTATGTTATAATATTAGCTGACCAAGCTAATATCACCTCGCAATAAGCAACCGAATACTTGAAGCTTCCAATGAGTTTACATGAAAGTTCGACAGGCCCCTGATATCTATCCAGTCTGTTTAACACAACCTGTACTAAGCCAGTAACCTTTGTACAATTACTGAATCCCGTACTACGGCTGGAAATTATTTCCTCGATTCCGATGCGAACTTTATTGTTGTAAGCCAAAACAATTTCACCTGTATGGACAGTGTCCTCCTCTCCTCCAAAACTCTGTGCCATCACATTCATCTTCCAGATAGTACCATACAATAAGTGGACACGCTTATTTATTTCTATTTGTATAACTTCTTTAATAATAAATGGTTAGAATTTGACAAGCCGTAACTGCACATATCAGCCGCTTTATATTCTCAGATAATTGGTACGGGAGCTCAGTATACATTGACGGTCTGAAAAAGAATGATTACTAAGTGACATAACTTGCGTCACAAATTTACTTGTAGTAACACGTACCTGCAAACCACTCCCCATCATAAAGGCAATCGATAATACCTAATATTCCTCTTCTCCTTCTGCACACTGTTATCCAGATCCACGTAGCCCTGTCCTTCGAAGACCTTACGCTGCCGATTCATGAATTCAGATGGACGGTGGTCACGATCGAAGCGATATTCCCTCAGAATACTGGGTAATAAGCAAAATAACAGATTTTCCATACATTCTCCGCCTCTTCTGACCGTGTATTAGAATGGATTAGGCAGACTGACTGTAATCTGCAGTGGTGTATGCGCACTGCAGTGAGGTGTGCTTCGAGATCGCCTTTCTCAAATGATCTGGAAAAAGTAGGTGTCAATCACGCCTCATAAACCGTTAATGCCCAGCTCTTGCGACGCTGGGCCTCATGCTGTCCGTCGGAGATTTTAAGAAACGCTTAGTATAACCGGACGCAAGAACCAGAACACAGATTCGCGACTCGAGAATTCTTTATCCTAACACCAACATATAATCAGCATTACAGACTAAGGTCCAACATCAAATATTACAATAGTAAATCACGATATTACTTCTGACAGTTTTTTCCATCTTCTTTCTGGACAGCGACCGATGAGACGATGACTGTCAGATCGATGAGCCGCGAAAATTATGGGGAAGTTGGGTTTTAGCAAACAACCATGAATTGATCGTTCAATCTTCAACTACATTGACAGTAGGTTACTAACAGAAAGGAAAACCCGTTTCAAATATGGCTATCCGTGGTTCAGTCTTCTGATCCACTCGTGGGTACTCTTGGAGACAGTTAGCGGGGTTACCAGTGTGACATCACGCCACCGTCTTAGGGCCAGGAACCAGTGAGTTCCTGAAGCCTCAACGTCTACGCCTTTATTTGCTCATTTAACCTGAAGGTTGAACATACTGTTGGATCGGTAAATGAAATGCCTAAACAATATCCTGCTTGAAGGAATAATGCACGAATAGGAAATCAAACTGAGATACTAATGTAGTGAAAAAACCTTATTGATGGTGACTGTTCTTACCCACGATTCATACAGACTACAGTTGGCTGAAATGTAATTATACCAAAAATAATAGTGGCAACTCATCTGGCCAGTTTGTGAGGCAATATGATAAAAATGTTGGATTTATTTATGGGTATCTGAATGCATTTATGTCTAATGGTATTCCTTGCAACCCATTCACTACAGTTCAAGAAGTGACATCATCTTGATATATCAGGCCTTACGGAAACTAACTACTTATCCTTGCGTGGTCGGAATTTGATCATATAGCTGTAATAAATATTACGGCTTAGGGTGGACCTCAATTCTAAACACTCTTACAAAACTTCTTCACCGTTTTATGACCTTAGCTGTACTCTGCTTAACGTGCAAATACTGACGAACTGAATCAAGGTAAAAAGACTTGGAATGACAAGTGTGTCTCGGACAGTTATATTTTACACAAACGAAATATGAAATTCGATAAGTGAAGAGGTTGTACAATTTATCTGCTGACTTCACTGGTGGTAGGCTCGGAGAGTGTGCTGAATGAGTGCACAACGAAAGAGCGAACCAACGAACGTACGGAAGAGTCACAACTCAAAAGATAAGGATGTGCCAAACTATGGGTGAGCGAGTTTAAACAAAGTTCAAGGGTACAATGTGCACTACAGGTTATCCCTTCCTTAGAAGGTTGGTGGGAAACCAACAAGCGTCGATATACAAAAGTAGGATGGCTTTGTACAAGAGCAGTGAGTGAACAAGAAGGTTTGAAGATAGTAAAAGTAATAGTAAAAACATTTTGCGAATGGAAAGAAAGCAAAAGAAAAAAGTTAAGGTAATTTGGAAGTAGTATGTACATGATTAGTGAAGTAAGACGGAATAT